GGACATTTGGAACCAAATTGTTGAGAATGAGAAAATCAGTCAAAATACACAACAAAGCTTGCAGCCTCTTTCAGGCTGCTGGGAAGGGGAGCTCCACGTTAACATGGCAATGGGAAGGATACTGGGAGTGGATGCTGCTTTGCTCCTTTGGAGGGTCAGAGAGGTAGACCAGTAGCCAGTTTGCCCTGGGGCCGGGCATTGACCCAGAGTGAAGTTATCCCACTTCCTACCTCCTACCGCTCTCTTTGTGAAAGATGTGTTTTCTTCCGTCTTTAACAGCACAGCAAATCCTGTCCTCTGCTGACATTTCTCCAGAGACAAAATGTACCTGTCAATTTCAGGAGCCAGCCTGTTGAGTAGCTTAATTACCTTATAACAATAAAACACATATCGCCCGGATTGGTTGTGTGCATACTTCCTCTGCTACTCCCAGTTGGGATTCTGGGTTTAAATGCCAGCCAAGTGTGCTCTGAGAGAGATGCCGCTTCTATTCTGTTTTTGTGGTTTTAATACTTCCTTGGCTGTGCGCTACTCCAAATGAGCTGCAGTCTGGAACTTCAGGATTTCTCTGCATTTGTCTGCCATGTTCTTAAGTACTTGATTTCCCTTGCTTGAAATAAATTCTCACTTGCTATTTACACCTCATTTTGTGACCTGCTTGGCTTACCATGGGCCCCTCACCCTCTGCCACTGGAGCATGTGCTAGTTCTCCACAGTGCTCCGGGGGACCTGTCTTCGGGGGCAGACCTTCCTGTCTACTCTAAGGCTTAGTTTCCTCAGTGTTTTGGTGACGCAGTCTGCTCACTCTCACCCTGCCTGGTTTGTATCTTGAAAACATCTAGGTAATCTCACGTCCCCTTCCTAAGTCCCATGACTTAAGTTTAGCAAGAACCGTATACTTGTGACCAGAGGGACCCAAATGTCTGATGGTGTGAGGGTGTTTCATCCTGGCAGAGAATTTGGTTTCTGGCACAGTGGCTGGGTGAGATCTTCAGATGACTCTTTCCTTCCTTCCTTCCTAGCCTAAAGCTGTCACCCTGGTTAGAGTGCTGTGGTGTCACAGCTCACAGCAATCTGAAACTCTTGGGTTCAAGTGATTCTCCTGCTTCAGCTTTCCAAGTAGGAAGGGTGCTACAGGCACCCTCCACAATGCCCAGTTATTTTATTATAAC